TTCAAAAAACAATTCAAACATATATTGTCGTCTACAACGGATAATTAAATAACCCAATTATATACATATTATATTATGGCAGAAAAAAAACAATAAAATACAATGTAAAGTTTTTAAAATAATATAACTCAAATATAGGTACCTATAATACCTATAGGCTATAGTGATTGTTATTTTGACAAATTTAAGTGAAATTTAGATTCTGAGCAGAGCAATGAATGTATTGATTTTACAATGTGTGTTTTTTAATTTAAAAAAAAAATTGTTGTGTCTGTCATCATTTTTATAGGACAGTAAAAGTACTTAGATTTTCTTCAACAGTACCTTATCCTAGACCCTAGGAGTTTTTAAAAGCACCGTGAAAAACAAAAAAAAAATTAAGTAAAAACGGGAATTTTTACAAAAATCGATTTTGGTTTTTGGTGTAACTCTAAAACAAATGACCGTAGATATACCTAAATTAAATTTTGACTTTATTATCATTTTCTATACACCATAACATTATTAGCTATTTACGGACATTTTCAGTTTCCAATTATTTTAGTTTTTTTTATTCTATAAATATAATTAAAATTTTATTTGTTGGGAAAAAATCTTGAAATTTTAATAGAAGGCTCCTAATATATTGTTTCCATGACAGATGAAAAATATTAAAAATCCATGATCACAATTTTTTTTATAAGCATTTAAAGTTCAAATATTGACAAAATACTTAAAAATTGTTAAGAATTCATAAAAATTTCTCATTTTAAACTATAGTTTTGAAAATCTAATACAAGACTCCTCAAAAGGTTATAACTACCTTTATCAAAAAAAGGTCCAAAAGCAAATCAAATTAAATTTTTATGAGCTTTTGAAGTTCATATTTTTAGAACATTGGATATTCACTCGATATATCTAATAAAGGTAGTGATTTTCTTATTTTGTTGTAATTCAAAAACAAATAACTGCAAATACGTGAAAATTTCACTGAGTGTTTATATTTTCCATACACCATGACATTTTGATTTGTTTTAAGCGTTTTACGGACAATTTATAAAATTTTTAGTAGTTAAAAAGGTATAAAATGCTCAAATTGTATAGCTAAAGATTAAAAATATAAAACAAAATTCCAAGTAAAGAGGAAATATTTAATTCAAGTTGTTTTCAGAATTTTAAATTCTGAGTGGAACGATGAATGTATTGATTTTACAATGATGTGTGTTTTTTTTGTTTTTACGTCTGTCATCACCTTTTAGGACAGTAAAAGTGCTTATGGATTTTCTTCAACCGTATCTTTCCTGATAGGAAAGTGAATCTAGTAGATGCTTTCGGGGGTCAAAAATAAAAATTTTCCAGTAGTTTTCAAAAGCGCCGTGAAAAACAAAAGAAAAATTAAGGATAAACGGGAATTTTTAAGCAAAATCTGTTTTCGAGAAAATCGATTTTGGTTTTTGGGGCAACTCTTAAACAAATGACCGTAGGTACATGCAATTTTGACTGAATGTTTATATTAGCATTTTCTATACACGATAACATTTTCAAAATGTTTTGATTTATTTTGAACTGTTTAGGCACATTTTAATTTTCCATTTTTTTTTAGTTTTTTTTTCTAAAAATATCAATAACATTTTATTTCTTGGTTAAAAAAGCTTGAAAATTTAATACAGGGCTCCTACTAATTACTATAATGTTAGTTGTTACAATGGCATTTGAAAAATTGCCAAAAGCATTTAAAGTTCAAAAATTGACAAAATATGGGAAAATCACGAAAATTAGCAAATTATTTTGAGTTAAGAATTCGTAAAAAATTTTCTTTTTAAAACTAAGATTTTAAAATGTAATACAAGATTCCTTATAAGATTATCTACCTTTATGAAAAAAAAAATGTCTATAAGAAAGTAAAATTCAAATCTTTACAACATTGGATATTCACTCGATTTCTCATGTAGCGATGTCCTTATATTGTTGTAATTCAAAAACGAATAACTGTAGATACATGAAAATTTCACAGAATATTTATATTAGCATTTCCTATACACCATACAATTTTAAAAATATTTTGACTCTTTTTGAGCTGTTTACGGACATTTTCAGTTTCCATTTTTTTTTTATTCTATAAATATCAATAAAGTTTTATCTGTTGGGCCAAAAAGTGTAAAAATTTAATACAAGGCTCCTGCAGATATATTGTTACAATATTTATTTATTTTTTATATCTAAGGATTGAAAATTTAAAACAAGATTCCACGTAAGTAGTTATTTCTGTTACCAAAAAATCCAAAAAATATATAAGCACAGTTTATTTTTATAGTCATTTTAAGTTCAACTTTGGACAAAATTACATAAAAAAAACCTAGAGGCTAGAATTACTATTTTAGTTATTTTGTTGTGATCGTGATATATAATAATGAAACTTCTAAAGTACACTATTATATATCTATAGAGTATGGACTATGATATAGTATCAGGGTTTGTTGTTGACGTATAACGCATTATAAGTACCTAATGGATATTGTGATATGATTAATTTGGAATTTATTATAGGTAACTATTTTAGGTAAATTTTTTTTAATACGATAGAATAGATAAGTATATAATATGTCTTATACCTAGACTGACTTACCGTCTCCGCTCAGAATCGTTTTTCTTATACAATGATATTATTGATATTATATCATTGAATTCAAATTTAATACTATCCAGTATCCATTATACAGTGACCCACTTGTAACCTACTGTACAGCAGAGCACATTTTTAGAATCGTTTTTTTATACAATAATATTATTTCATTGAATTCAAATTTAATACCATACATTATACAGTGACCCAGTTGTAACCTTCTGTACAGCAGAGCACCTTTTTTACGTTTGATTGATGTAATTACTTATAAAAAAAAATATCAAAATATACACTGCCGTTGTTGATAGTTATAATTTCCAAATTGATATTAGGTACGCATATATTTTTAGGGAACAATTTCAAAAAGGAAGGTATTTAACATAATAATTCATATTATAGTAGATAATTATTATATCATCGTTCTATGAACAGGTAACAATAATTGCACTACCGTAGGTACTAGGTATCATCAATAATAAAAAATGAAAATAAATCTTCTAGGCTCTGACATTGTATACAATTAAGACGTATTTATGACTTTCATTCATAATACATGGAACATATTAAAAACATATTTTAATTACGTACCTACATTTTTAATATATTCATTTGCATGTTATCGTGACTTATGAGATATAATCATTTCGACATATTTAAATACTTTAACATGTTGTCACGTAGGACACTATAATAATAGCCTAAATAAGGGTCTAGAACTCTAGACTCTAGGACCACTAATATTTTATTCAATAATATTACCATTTGGCATTTGCTATTTTGGTAATCCATTGCGATTATTCGTAAATTGTAACTGAGGTTATGAAAAAGATTAACCACCGGAATAATTCCGTGTTTCCGGAATGCATGCGAACGTTCTGAGATTGACGAGATTAACAATGGTTCAAGGTCTAATAACTTTAAATCATTGTCCGTCACCGTGAGATATTAAATATGTTGTCCTATGGAACATGAGTTTGCTTTTATGATATATAATATTATAAATAATGACCAATGGGCAATGGGCATGATTGCATGAATAGTTTTAATAATTTTATACAATATAGGTACCTAGTACTTACCTAATAAATTAAATTACCTATGTAGACACTTGACATATAGTTTGGTATGCATAAATTATAAAGTATATTTATATCGTATAAGTAACTATAGGTACCGCGAATTAAGTTATCCATATTTTATGGACTTGTGGTACATAGGTGCTTTAGGTACCTACCATTGTCCATAGACTAGTTTATGGTAGATAATAGGAACTTAAGTTTTCCTAATTAGGAAGTAGGAACTACCTATATACAATTATAATATGCTAGGTAATAGACGTACGAAAACCCTGTTATTGAATAATTAATAGGTATACCTAATATATTAATACTTATGTGTATAATATGTAGGTATAGGCGTACAAACAAATATATTACCTTATTTACCTATATTATATATATATTACTAAATTAGTAGGTATATTAGGTAAATATTAATATATTATAATATAATTCAAGGTAAAATCTTCGATAAGTATAGTTATTTCGTATTTTTGTTAGTAAAAATAATATTGTCATCGAAGTTCAAATTTCAATATAGTTCAACCATTGAATACCTACCTACTGAATTATTAATACTTCAATTAGTGTTAAAAATAATCAAAGCTTGCATGGAATATCGGAGTGTATTTAGTGTTAACTATTATAAACACTTAAATATTACTATATTAGACATTACTTCGTAATTACTAATTAGTATTTTAGCATGCACGGTGCGCCTATACCTACAAATTTACTGAACAGTGAACTGCAACCAATGACAATTATACTTACCTACTATAACTTACTATTATTCTGTGTGCTGTGGTTGTGGTAGGGGTTGCTGATAGATATAGGAATATATAGTTATAGTTGTATGGGTACCTAACAGGTGTCAGATGACGGTATTGATACATTTATCATTTTGATTATGCTTGTGAGTTGTGATAAACAATACGAAATACGAATACATAAAATTTGATAACAAGACAAGTAACAACATCCTAGTATCGTACATGGAGACGGATAAATCAAGCATAATTTTGAAAAGTAATGATAATAATTGCATTTTAACTTTAAAGTAACATTATACATTTAAGCACCTAATAACATGCCTAATATAATAATGATGTAAATCAACTATATTGAAATCGATTTGTTAGTTTTCAAAGTTCTATACATATTTCAGTAAACTATTCTTTTTTGTTATAATATTCACATGCATATTTTAATTATCCTTATGATGTATTCATTTTTGTTTTTAATTTTAGCGAATCAGGCTTAATGTCTGTGATGAATAATTCTATGTCTCAAACCATTTAAATCAATTGAAGCTAGACAAACTTAACTAATATGATACGATGCTCAATTTTTGGAAAACAATTCAATCTAAAAAAAGTTCAACATCATCGGCTAATATCAATAACGTTGGGCTGAGCATTATCGGTGATGGACTACTGCCACTCAAAGATTTTGAATATGGCGAGAGTGGTATGTAATATTATACTATTATTTTTGTGAAGTAAAAGTATTTATTTAGATTTTTAATTTTTAACAGATCTTTATGCTCTGGAAAAATGTAGATTATCATTGCATTTCGGTGAAGCATTGGTGTTGGATAATAGTGCACTTTTATCCATGTTTAGACAATTTTTAGACCACAGAAATTTATTATCACTTTACCATTTATACATGGCATTATTGGGTCGTACAGATATTGAAGATGAGTTATTACGTACAAATTTATTAAGAAACATCTCAGTTCATCGGATTCATTTTCCCGATCAATTAATAGCAAAAATTAATAATCATAGTAAACAGTTAGATATTGGTGATTTAAAAGAAGTTACAGATAAGGTTTATGTAATATTACAAGAGTAAGTATCTTTATTACCTACAGGCTACAACATATATTTACTGCTTTATAGTTATAGATAGTTGCTAAAGAAACTGTACATTGTACATAATATAATATTATTATATCATTTTATTATCCTTAGGTATTGGAATAATTTTGTCCAGACTGATATGTTTTGTAAATACCAAGTAGATGTCTTAACAGGTGGACAAGTTACTCTTGGTGATATACTGCTTTGTGATGGACTTCTTTCTTATTTTATGGAGGTATTATGATTACATACTTGGCATTAATTTTAATTAGATCTTTATCAGTAAACTTTTAAATGATTTATTAAAACATTAAAAATGCTCCTAACATTCATCTCTTTGTGTAATTTCTGAATTTAGACTACTATACATATATAATATATTATGATAGTATACACTTAATTCTGTTATGTATAATAAGTAATAACTGATGCTTTTATTATTATTTTAATTCCATTTATAAGCATCTAATTTTCAAAAATCAAAAAAGTTAGTTTTTAATTTGTATTAGGTATTATTGAAAAATATATTACAAAAGTAGTTAAATAGTTTATTTGTAATTACCAAATTGTTGTAACTATACAAATTTTACCACGCATATCAGTTTATTATATAACATGATATTCATGGGTTTTATAAGATTAATATGGTAAACAAATATTATTTAAACTTGCACAATTATTATATTTTATTCATATTAAAATGATTATTTTATGTCAGGTTCTTAATTGCCTACTATTATCATAAATTATAGTATTTATAATATTTATCAGCACGACAAAAAACATCTTCTCTAAACAACACTGATTAAAACAATTGATTTGTATATTTAGATAATGATTGATTCTTAATTTTATAAATAATATACTCATGAGTAATGACTATTACAAATTTAAAAGTATTATACAAAATAGTATTTAACTAATTAATTTAAAAGTAATTGATTAATTAAAATATTACTCTTTAATTATAATTATAGAACAAATAAAAATTGGTGTTCTTATTTTTTTTTACAGTTTCTTGATAGTGAAGGGTGTAGATCTATTGTTGAGTTCTGGTTGGCAGCTACAAATTTTAAAAGTTGTGTTGAACAATTAAAAAGTACTTCAGTTAACTATGAACAAGCACAAAGTGACGCTATTAGTATTTATGAAAAGTAACTGAAATTCATTAATAATTAATATTAATATTTTATTAACATTTTGTTGTAATAAAAAAATGTTAACAGGTATCTTTCTCTTCAAGCCACATGTTCACTTGGTTTCACTGATCAAGTAAGAATTACCGTTGAAGAATCTATATGTCCAGCTGACATACAAGGCCAAACTGTTACAACAATTAGCCAGTGTTTTAGATCTGCCGTTTTAGTGGTCCTAGCATTTTTACGTCATAGATGTTTAATGCCATTCCTATCATCTCAACATTATGTACGTTATTTGTCCGAATTAATAAAAGCTGGAAATTCCTATCAATCTCTATCTCAAGACAATGAATCATCTAGCTCTTCAGTTTCTGAGTATAGTACTAATTCAAAACGATCAATGTCTTCTCTTTTACCTTATTCAGCTAGTACAGATTCATTATGGAGAAAAAGACAGCAAAGGTGAGCCCAAATTTAACTTCTAATTAGTTAATAGTATATTATACATTATATGGCAAAATATCTTGATATAAAAAAATAAAAATAATAATATTTTATTGAAAGTTGTGTCGTATAAAGTTCAATTTGTTTAACTAGTTCAATAATTTATGTTGCACTGTATTTTTTTTATTTAAGTATGATGTTTAAGTGAAGATGTGAAACTGAATACAATAAAGGTAATTTGTATACCAGCTATTTGGCTAATATGGATTGTAATATTCGAAAACTTTTTCATATAATTTAATAATATATATAAAATATAAATGGTTTAGAATGTTTAGATTAATATTGAGAAGTTATTCAAAATAAAATTCAAATCTAAATTCTGGATGTAAAATAAAAAAATCAATTACTTAAATAAAATTTTTAAATTTATAAAAGCAGAAGTTAGTAAAAAAACATGTTGTCGATGCATATTGTATAAATTATTATATTTGTTTTTACCATCATATATACTTGCTGAATAATACATGCTTGTATTTTTTTTTCTTTTAGTGGTTTAAGTTTTGGTCGAGTTGATGAATATGGACGTTTCGAAAGGAACATAGAACCAGATCCAGATAAAAACAAAGGTGTGTTAAATTTGTATTATAATTTTTAATAATTACATGGATTATTAATATTATTTTTTAGAATCTGGCATCAGGAGAATGATGAAAAAATTTGTGAATAAAGAGGGTGTAAAAATGCAAGAAGATATGGCATGGCAAGTAGCTGAAATGATTGTAAAAGATGTAACAAGTGTGACAATGGCAAATAATGATGAAGATTTTGGTGCAGAATAAAATATTGTACAAAAACTATACAATAGTTTATATCACTTTATAATAAAATATGTTATAAAATTAACAAAAAAATATTTATTTGAAAAGACAGGTAATTAAACTGTGAGTGAAAATGCACATTTTGTAAAATATTTACTTACATTGATAATATTTTTATATTCATTACAAATATTTATTATAATTTGTTAAACTATTAATTGTTATATGATTAAATATTTAATTTATATGATGTTGCATATATTAGTACCAATTTTTATCCTAAGCATTTATGTTAAAATTTTGTATTTTATTTATGTATTCTCAGGTTACAAGTATTAAAATTATTTTTTAAAATGTTGTACTTTTACAATTTAAAATCAAACCAATTTAAACTTTACCAATATTACCTATTACCAATATTCCGTGCAATACTATAAACTATATTCTCATTAGTCATTACACTCAATTACATAGGTATTAAACTTAAGGAGCTTGGCGCCAATATAATTTTGTCTACAAAACTATACACTACAGGACTATTGGTCCTGTCCTGTAAAATCCACCAAATTTGAAAATTATTTTTTATCAAATTTGATAATTTTTAATTATGTTTTAAATTAGGGACATTCAGTTTTTCTTTATAAAAATATACTTTATTGTATAATTTTAATAATAATTACCAAGGTTTGGAGATGTGTGCCTAAACTTTTTATAATATACCCTATGAATGTGAGTTTAAAAAAATATTAATCAAACAACAATTATACAGACATTAAAATACTAGAACACTATCTTCATTTATACTTGGCAAAACCACTGGTTAAACAAAATATATAATAATGATGTACTCAAATCCTCGTAAACCTTTGGGAAAATAGAATAAATAATTTAGGGGTGAAGAATTGGACATATAGGCCTCAAATACTTACTTAATAGAAACCAGATCACAAGTTCTGACAAATCGCCCTTTATTTGGAGTGAAATTAACTGTCTAAGGTCTAACTCATTATCAATCTGCATATCTATTGATGAATTCAAGAAAAAATTGGGCATAGATATGAATCTATTACAGTATTACCTTATAATGAAGCAATTGGCACCGAAGCAGTGAAGTCACTGATATATCAAGGACGACCTCATCATCACATTTCTCAAAAAAATTGGATTGGACCAATCTCAAGTAATTACAGTTATTTGTTTTTGAGTAATCAAAAAAACAAAATCAATTTTGTATGTTGTCAAAAATAGTTCTACTTAAAATAACTAGTTTTTCTGTTTTTTTTCCCCCCAGTTATTTCGAAAAGTAGGTATATACTGTAAATGTTTTACTTAGGACACCTCAAAGTAACAACTAAATACAATATGGTACCAACAGGTGATTGTAGACAGAAAAAAACACTGTAAAATCGATTCCTTCATTACTCCGCTAAGAATCTAAAATTTAAAGATAAATACATTTAAAATTTGATAACTAGTAAATTCACTCTAATATTAAAACTAACAACACAAACTTGTAAGACAGATAAAGCATGTTCGGGTATACTTTTAAGTTTTAAATAATGTTATCGAATTTATCATTACAATTTAGAGAATATAGGAAAAAAAAGCAATGAAAACAAAACAAAAGGAAAAAAAGCAAATGAAATTAAAGCACTAGGAAATAAATCAAATGAAAAAAATGCATATATAGGTATATATTGCAAAAAGGAATATGCAGTTTAATATGCAAGTTAATTTTTTTTAACACCACAATTAATAATTATAAATATTATAATAACACAGTAGTACAGTACCTATAAAATATAAATACAGTATTTCACGAAAAGGTAAAATAATTTCCATGTAGGATATGGGGTACCTATTGTTTTCCTATAATGTGTACGCGTAAACTGGGTACACTCTATATAACTCACTTACCTACATTACTCAGTACCCTATATATATTTAAGAATTATATTAGCCGGAGGTTGATGATCCAGTAGTCTAGTTGCATGTGTCATGTCCTGCAACAGAATTAAAAAATATGTATAGAGTACACACATTGTTAAGTACAAAATAAGTCAATATTATACTTAACTAATTAAATACACATTACTCTAAAGTATTTGAAAGAATTCTAATAAAATATGAAATATATTAGAATTATAATTTTCCCTAACAAGATTTTTTAGATTATAATATTATGTACAATTGAAAAAAAAATCTGACAGTAAAATAACCACAAATTAATAAAAATTGGTCAAATTGCTAAGTTTTAATGACTATTATTTTCTGGACAATAATATTATAATTTATAATAGAATAAACCAAATGTTTTTATTCACTAAGTAACAAACTTTTGGTAATAGCTTATGTTTTTACTCAAAGCTCAATGTATGCTCAATTGCTACCTACCTGTAAATTTCAAAAATAAATAATGACGTTTTTTATAATATCAACTCAAGAATTAAAAAAAGGTGGGTAAGTGGATGTCGCTCTGCTGTACAGTAGGTTACAAGTGGGTCACTGTATAATGGATGGTATTAAATTTGAATTCAATGATATAATATCATTGTATAAGAAAAACGATTCTGAGCGGTATGTCAGTCTATGTATAAGACATATTATATACATATCTATGGTATTAAACAAAAAATTGACCTAAAATAAATATATAAATTCCAAACTAATCATATCACAATAACCATTAGATACTTATAACGCGTTATACATCAACAAAAACCGTGATACTATCATAGATATATAATAGTACACTTTAGAAGTTTCAAGTACCCACGAATAATATTATTCAATCACAACAAAATAACTAAAATCGTAATTCTTGGTTTAAATATGAAATTTTGTCTAAATTTGAAATTAAAATGTCTGTAAAAAATAAGTGTGTTTATATATTTTTTAGATTTTTTGGTTACAGTATGAATTATTTAATAGAATCTTTGTTTTAAATTTTCAACTCTTAGTTATAAAAACTGAACATTTTATAATTTTTTAATTCCAACGATTGATAATTTTCGATATTTTGATAAATTTTGTCAAAATTCCAACTTTAAATGCTTATAAAGAAAAATCGTGCCATGTATTTTTAATATTTTTCAACTGATATTGTAACAATATATCAGGAGCCTTGTATTAAATTTTTACACTTTTTGGCCCAACAGATAAAACTTTATTGATATTTATAGAAAAAAAAACTAAAAAAATTGAAAGCTGTAAATGTCCATAAACAGCTCAAAAAGAGTCAAAATATTTTCAAAATTGTATGGTGTATAGAAAATGCTAATTTAAACATTCAGTGAAATTTTCATGTATCTACAGTTGTTCGTTTTTGAATTGCAACAAAATAAAGAAATCGCTACATGAGTAATCGAGTGAATATCCAATGTTGTAAAAATTTGAATTTCAAACGCTCATAAAAATTTAACTTGACTGTCCGGTAGAGATTTTTTTATTGATAAAGGTAGATAATCTTATAAGGAATCTTGTGTTTCATTTTCAAATCTTAGATTTAAAAAGAAAAATTTTTACGAATTCTTAACTCAAAATAAATTGTGAGCTAAATACAAGTCTCCCAACACAGAGACCGATCAATTCTAAAATCTCCCAGGCGACGACTTGTATCTATATATTGTTATATATAGCCAGATAGTACGTTCATCGTTCATCGGCTCACAGCATTACCTTTTCGAGTCCGTTAATTTTTCTAAAGACTATTAACCGACTAGAAAGTATGAGGAGCTAAAAAAAGCTGCCGCAGAGAAAAGAAGACAAATATGTAAGACTGACACTATCAATAGCCACGGACTGGCATCAGTTCGACAGGTGAAGATAGATGCCAATGATGAAGCACGCAAACGAAACAGAGAAAAACACATGTCCATAATACAATGGGTGAACGAAGTAAACGCAGTAAGACAACGTCATAATACCGATTGGAATACACCGGCAGATTGGAGAATGGTGACGGAACGAACCGTTCATAGATATATACCATTCGAACAAAAGGGCGTATAACTGTCGGAAGCAATAAGATATATCACAGAGAACCTGGCAAAATATGAAAAACCAAAAACAGCAAGAAAATGCGTGGGAGAAAACACACCGTTATGGTACTTGTCTCGAAACGCATTACGTAAAGCATTATACAGAGCGTCTATACGACGCATCGAGCTGACGACAGATTAATGCCGAATGACTCCACCACCCGGACACTAATCTGGGGGGGGGAGTTGTAACGGAACAAACATACACCACTAAAACGGCCATTCTCATGGCCAACATGGCAACATATATTATCATATGACAAATATATGAATTCTGCCGATGGAAAATAACATCGTTTCAACCAAGCGACCATTGGAACGAGAACAGTTGGGATTGCCTAACCAAAGGGCCGGCAGCCAATCAGAAACCGGAATACATCGGTGAACAGGTATATATACCGGTGCGTTCCCCAATGTACTTCACTACCAACACATTCAAGACGTAACCAAAAAAGCTACCCGCGTCCGTGGTATGCTTTACCCCTTACTTAACCGTACTAGTCCCGTTCCGCTGAAAACAAAACTTAACATACTTAAACTCTACGTGACCCCTATACTTACATATGCTGGCTCTTCCTGGGCACCCTTTATCGGCCCCTCCCATTGGAGACGTATTGAATCCGTCCAAAACATCGGCATACGCACGATAACCGGTATGCCCACTATCGTTAGAAACTCGGTCCTTTTAAAATCAGCCAACTTCAAATCTATCCAAAATTCCATTTGCTCTCAATCAAAAACAATGTTCTACAATAACTCTTTTTCCGAATACGATCATATCCGCCTCTTAGGTAAAACCCACTCCCCTCCAACCACCAAACGTTTACTCAAACCATACCCATTAAATTGGACTGACTTACATAACTGAACCTACCAATCAACCCCAAAATCCATCCACTAGTAGAGGCACAAGCCTGGAATAGTAAACGGCATAGCCACCCCTCCCAAAGCAAAGCAAAGCATGTACTTCACTTCAACCCA